GGGACTCACTGGCAAACCCACACCAAAATCTAACAGTTGTTCTAGAGTGCTTTACTTCAGAAGCCCCCACCTGCTGCCATCAGGAGGTTCTGATGCTGCAAAGCAGTGAGTCCAAGCCATCTGAACAACCCCCACTACTTGAAACATGCACTGGCAAATGGAGGAGACAGCCTGGACCAAGCTGGCACCCATAAGAGCCAAGTGAAACCCTCACCTGATTGATTTCCAGCTGCAGCCTTTCTGCTTCCTCGTCTGTAAGTTCCTTAATCCTTGGCTCATTTGCTTCCTGTTTTGCTTCCTTGGCAAGCTTTGCAGCTCTCTCTGCCTTCTCCCGTCGTTCTGCCTCTTGTCGAGCCTTCTTCTCCTTCCTCTCCTTTTGAGCCAGTTTGTTGTGATGGTTGAAGGAGTCTGTGATCAGCTGGAAGACAGGGACGTGTACCAAAGGGTTGAAAAAAAATAAAGAAATCTCCCTTTTTTTTATTCCAAACCCAACTGAAGCCAACTCACTAGATACCAAAGTTTTTTGCTTTTTTGTCCTTTGTGCTTTGAGCCTTCCTAACCCAGCTACTCCATACATCCAGGAAAGCTGGAAGAATGGAGACACTGGTCTTAGTTTTTATGCCTGCTTCTGACCTCTCCCCCAGCTGGGCTTTCCCCAGGCATATTTAATGTCTGGATTACAAAACCTTTGCCATGAAGAATTTCTATAGCTCCTGGAATTGTGGCTACCACTGCAACAGCAAAATCTAGCAGAAATCAGTAAGTATCACAGTTTCACTGTGTCACCATTTAGAGGAGGAAGATTCGAAAAGCTCCTTTTACTGAGGGTGAAGTTCCAACAGAAATCTTTGCTTCCAACCTAACTTCAACCTTTCACATTGTTGTGTCTGTGAAAAGCAAACTCTCAAGGTCTCTGATGCAAACGGCTGTGCTGCTCAGAGGGAAAGCTCAGTATGCAGGCAGGAAGCCAGAGCACTGCCTGCTGCTCAGTAATGCCACAGAGCACTGTGCAAAGCTGCACGGATGAGAACTGCTCCAGAAAACAACGCAGAATCTCACAAGAGAAATCAGAGTGGAGAGAGTCCTCAGACGTAGGAGCCAGGTATTTCTGTATGTACAGCCCAGAACCCCTGCGATGAATCAGCACCTTTCCAGAGAAACTCAAAGCAATGGGTTTTGTAACCAACCATCAGCTCTTTCTGCTTTGCTTCTAAAGGGCAAAACAAGGTTTATTTACACAGCCTGAGTCCGGTGTCTCCTAGGACACAGAACTCAAGACATGCATCTCCCAGCCTCTGCTCCTAATTGAACCCACAGGGAGCAAAGCTATTTAGCTATGTAAGTTCCAATAAGAGCAGCCAGGACCCCCAAAAGCACCCATCAGGGCTCATCTCCCAACTGCTACTCAGTTTCATTCCCTGGGAACACAGAATCCCCAGGAATCTGAGGCAATATGTCCTCCAATGGAAGGAAAACAGCACTAGACTTCAATTCATTCTTCCTTTGAAACCGTCCACTTTCCCACCCCTGACCTGCCTTAGTTGTTACTTTGGAGACCAGAGAGAGTACATTCTGCTCTCCATTAGCAATTAATGCCTTCCCTAATGCATTTACCATGGCAACAGCACCTGTTTTGCTCACAGGGAGTTCTAGTAGTCAAAAAGTGCTCACAAAAGACGTGCACTCTGAGTTTTTCCCTCTGTTCCATACAGGCCGTGGGATCTAGAAGCATCAGACCCTTCTACAACATCAGCTTCCCTGTAACCCCTTCAGCAATCACCCAAAGATTGTATGCAAGCAGGGCAGGGACACAGCATCCAGCCGAGCATTACCAAGCAGTTCACATGCTAAGTGAGGGGGAACAGCAAGTACAACTGAGAACCCTTCAGAAAGTCTGGCTAACTTGTGCTGGGACGAGCCAAGGCGCTCAGTCCTTACAGTTACAGCAGCCCGGAGACAAAGGTGCAGCTGCTGGTGTGCAGATGTGGACTTTGAGCTCTTCCTGGGGTGAACAAACAAGGCGACACGCAGTTATCGGCACAGCGGTGTCTGTCACCGTTCAGTCAGCGCGTCTGGCAGATTTGCTTTCCAAACAAGCCTTTGGCCAGAGCATGGCAAATCCCTGCACCACCAGCATCACCTGAGCAAGCGGTCGTGCCTCACCACAGTAGGGACAGCTCGCTGTTCCCTCGTTTCAGTGGTGTGTTTTATTACTGCTCATCCCCAGTTGCATTACAGGGTTTTAGGATGTTCAGGAAAGGAAGGCTTAGCAAGGCATAAACGTGGCTGACACATAAATCAAAAGACATAACACAACTTGCAGACTGTGGTTTGTTACCTTCTCTGCTACGCCATCTTCTCCACCAGTGAAGAAATCTGTTTTACGCCTCAGGAAACTGAAGAATGTGTTCACAAGCTGGGAACAAGGAAGGGGGACAGGAAAAGGACAGGGAAAAAAAAAACACCCAGAGCAATGAGAGCACATCACCCCAAGGCACCTCATGTTTAGTGAACAGTCTTTATTCTGCTCTTCCCATCTGAGTCAGGATCATAATTCTACGATTCCATAATGAAACCCTCTGATTGTTTCCCAGAGAAAATATTCCATGGCTTGTGTGAAAATCCACCTCCTGGCTCTCTGTTTTTCAGGACAGGCACCTATGTGATTTACATTAATAATGTAGGCACGTTATTCTCAGATCACGTTGGAGATGCACAGATGTGGGCACCCCAAGCTGCTAATTAGACCCACTTGATGCAGGAACACTGAGCATGCACATATCCATACATGTGTATGTGTACAGGTTTACACACGTGCTGTATTTTGCTGCCCTGCATGTCTAAGCCCTCAAAGCACACAAGCCCACCTTTCCCAGCTCTGTGTCCCTTTACTTTTACAAAAGAACAAAGTCCTTTTGTTTCCCACTAACTGCCTTGCTACCTGCCAAGTGTTACTGATGAATGGAAACGCACTCTCTCAAAGAACACTGTTGTTTTTTGTTTTCCTTGTATTTTTTCCTCCCATCAGGAATTGCATCTTGTCGGTATTCCAACCTGAACTTTGAGGATTGAAACAAGATGTTTTTAGCACCACTTCTCCAAAATTTTGGGGTGCGGGCGATGCTCCCATACAGCCCTCCTGCAGCTCAGCTCCGGGATTCCAGCTTGAGCTGCCACGTGAGTAAAAGTGAGGCCGCACCGCAGCCTCAGAGCCCCACGAGGAGCCGGGAGGGGGCCGCCGCCGGGTTTTTAGCGGCTCCTTCCGCTCACATCCCCGCCCTCGTGCACCACGCAGCGGAGCCGCGGCCGAGGAAAGGGGTTCCGCACGCTGTTAGCAGCCGCGCCCCGCAGCTCCTCAGCCCCTCGCCAGCACCACGCGCCCCGCAGAGCCGCTGCAGCCGCCACGGCGGGGCCGGAAGTCACGCGCTGCCCCTCCTCCCGGGCCCGCCCGCTCCTCCCACCCCCCCAACCACCACCGGGAGCACGGAAAGGCTTTGGCCGCCCAGGGAACGACGGTGCTACCTCGCACACGCCGCCTTGGTGCTGCTGCGCCATGGCCAGAAGGATGCCATCGAAGCGATCCTCCTGCTCCGCCGCTTCCTCCGCGCTCAGCCCCATCTTGCCCGCCACCGGTCTCCTCAGAACCCTCACGCTACTGCTAACCGGAACCGGAAGCAAGCTGGGCGGAAGCGGAAAAGCGGTACCTCCCTCAACAGCCAATCGCAGCGCTCGGCTGCGCTGCTGCTTTCGCGGATTGGTCGAGGCAGTACCCGCGTTGGAGAGGCGGGAAGAGTGGCGCGGGGCTCGGTTGCTATAGCGACGGCCGGGCCTGGGCCTTTCCAGAAAGCTCGGCCGGGGCTCGGGGCTCGGGGCCGGGCAGCGTTGTTTACTTCCGGGTATTTCCTGTTCTTGCGCAGGGTTTGGCTCTTCCCGAGTCCCCTCCCGTCACCACACGGTTCAAAGAGCCGCTCGTTCAGGCCCAAGCAGGGCCAAGGCTCTGCAGTCTGAAGCAGGGAGAGACTGTGGCAGTCCTGCTGCCTGCTGTGGGCCTTTCCTTACCCCTCGCTGCTGGTTTCACTCCTTTGCACCAAGAGCTGTGTGCCCTTAGGATGAGTTGGCCTTATCCCCACTGCCTACTGCCTGAGGTCCCCCTGAAATCAATCAGCAGATGCTGCCAGTTCCCCAGGCTGACTTGTGCTGGCCAACAGACACAAATACCCGGGTATTTTGTGGTGAAAATCTATAAACGTGGCCCTCAGTTCCCGCTTGTTTATGCCCTTAAGATGTTTGTTCCTTGCAGGGTTCACTGGGCCTGAGTGAGGAATTCCTCACAGGCCCCCCTGAAATCCATAATTGTGTGCTGCCACTTCACTTCTGCTGATCGAAACATACAAATTCAGCGCAATAAAAGGGAAAAATGTATAATCTGGCTCTCACCTACCCAGCATTTCTTCTGCAGCACATGCGGCGCTGCCTCGGGTGTAGTGTGGCTTCACTTATTCACTGGCTTCCTTAACTGTAACAGCACGAATCTCCTGTCAACAAGGTTAGGCAAACATCTGCTGATAAAATGACTTCCAGGTTGCTCTTTCCAAGGCCAGAGCACGCAGGCCATTTGCCATGGTGTCCTCGCTCCAGACGAGCACCGTGTGTGTGTGTATGTGTGTGTGAACTCCTTGGCAGCGACACCTGCCAGATAGCACAGCCTGATTGCAGCGCGGGGCCTTGGTGCCATGGTACAGCCCGGGTTAATGACTTTGTTTATACTGTTTGGGTAATTGTGATAAGGCTGCCCAACCCGCTGCCCCATCCCCGCGCTGCGGCTGCTGGCGTTTCATTGAGAAAACGGCCACTGACGCCATGCTGAGATCTTGCTGGTCCCAGCCAATCAGTCTGGGGACAGCTGGTTGGTTGGGTTGGTTTTTTTTTTCTTTTTTTAATGAGGACCGCTTAATCACAGAGCGGTCAAGGCTGGGAAGGGGTGTTCCACTTGTGACTGAGCCTTATAAGAGCTTGTTTGAACAGCCATGTGCTGGCAGAGCAGAGGGGACAGGTCACTCCCAGGCTGAGACGGGGAGGAAACTTACAGTTCTCTCCTATCTGTGGAGCTTTACAGAGGATACAGGCTCCCAGGCTCTGATGACCAGTAGCACGGACATGGACTGCGAGAGGTGTCAGTGCCAGCATGGAGACAAACACTCAGCCATTCTCTACACCCTCCTGAGCCAGAACCTGAGCCACAGCCCACCCCACCAACGCTGCCTGTGTCACCAGCGCTGGACAGTTTGCCTCCGGACACCCCATATCACCTGCCAGGCTGCCTCCGATGTGTTGGTGAAAACCATCAGCTTCATGAAAAACCTCCCTTCCTTCCACCTGCTGCCACGGGGGGATCAGCTCCTGCTGCTGGACAGCTGCTGGGTCCCCCTTTTTCTCCTGGGGCTGGTCCAGGAGATGGTGACGTTTGAGGTGATGGAAACCCCGGCCCCCAGCATGCTCGAGAAGATCCTCCTCGATGGCCAAAGCAAAAGGCAGGAGCCTGAGTGGACGCAGCCCATGCTGGCCGCCGTGCAGTGGCTGCAGTGCAGCCTCAACACTTTTTGGAGCCTGGACTTGAGCCCAAAAGAATACGCTTACCTGAAGGGAGCCATCCTCTTTAATCCTGGTGAGTGCTCAACCCTCTCAGCTCTGCCTGCTGGTGGTGAGAGAAAGCCCTGCATGAGTTAGCATTTAAAAACACAGCTCTTGGCTTGGAGTCACTCAGAGTTTGGGCAAAAGTGTGTGTGAGAGCAGGGAGAGCTGCTCACGTTATCGTTAGCATCAACAGTGCAGCTTACAGCTGGGATGCAGGGAGGAGAGATACTGAATGCAGTGTTTAAAAGCAGAGACCTCCTCACCTTGCAAACAAAGACTTAAATCTATAAAGGGGGACTTAAATCTATAAAGGGGGACTTAAATCTATAAAGCTTATGTCTGCCCTGTTAGTTATATTTACTCCCTCAATGCAACAGCCCTGAAATCCGTGTCATTAGGGTGGCACTCGGAGGTTTTCTCCAAGACACAGGGAAGGAGATGGGAGAAACCTGGAGCTGTTTTCCAGCCTTCCTCTTCACATGCCTTTCCTCCTTTCTCTTGGCAGATGTCCCAGGGCTGACGGCCTCCCTGCACATCGAGAGCCTCCAGCGGGAAGCCGAGCGAGCGCTTCAGGAAGTGGTGAGGATTCTGCACCCTGAGGACCAGGACCGTTTTGCCCTCATTTTGCTCATCACCTCCACCTTGAAATCCATCCCTCCTGCCCTCATCACAGACCTCTTCTTCCGGCCCGTCATTGGCAGCGCAGACATTGTTGAGCTCATCGTGGATATGCTGTATGAAATCACCAGCTGGCAGCCGGCTCCCTCACCACACACGGCTCTGTGAGCTGCTGTGCTCTGCCACAGCTCTGTGCGTGCTCTCCATCAGCTGGCAGGGCAGCAGGGAGGACTGGGGAGCAGGCACTCGGGACAGGCGCCCTGAGCTCCACAGCTGGCTTTGCGTGTGCCTCTTGCTAGGCTGCAGGGCTCAGCAAGGTGTTAGCAGAGCACTCAGGAAAGCAGCCTTGATTCAGCAGATGTCTGTGGCAGCTCCTGCTCCGCCTCTGCCAGTCTGTTTCAAGGAGTGTGACTGTGTGTGTGTGGCTGTTTCCCTGTTCTGCAGCTGGTAGTACTCAGCTGCTAGCAAGCAGGCCAGCCCCGTGACACAGGGCAGATTGAGTTAGAGCCTGCTCCAGTTGTTTTTTTATCTCAGTGAATCCTCAGTTCAATTAAAACCAATGTGTGTTTTGCTGTTAACTCCAAGAGATGAGGTCTGACCTCAACTCACTGCCCATGACAGCTCAACCTTGTGATAGTGGTATTTAGGGGTGCTGAGTATCTTCAGTGGGATCACTTGTAGAGTATGACCAAGTGCAAACAGTCAGAAATTAGATCTTTAAGTATTGGCCAATGTCTGTTGTGCACGAAATCTCAGAAATATTCATAAAGAATCTTCCTCAGGCAGCAAGAGGGAAAAGTACAAAATCTTACAGGGTGTGCAGCCAGCCGAATTAACGCCTTGTGCCTTTCATCAGATTGCTTCTTCTCTCCATTATGCCATGAGCTGCAACAGGATTGCTCACAGAGCAACGGATTACCTAAGAGCAGTGAAACATATGGCAAATAATGCTGCATGAACACCAGGGAGTCCGTCCTACCCATACACCACAAAGGTGCTTTTAGCAGCATTGAGAATGGCTCAGGCTGTGGGCCTGCCTCTGTTCCTGCGACAGCAAGCAACACACTGAGCTACGGACACCGAACAAACCAGCAGAACTGTTGGTGGCAGAACAAAACATCCCTGCCTTGAGTTACAGCTGGTTAAACGTGTAGCACGTCTGGAAACCTCACTTCTCCTGTCTGCAGCTTTTGTAAACCATTAGATGTCAGTATTTTGTGGGTGAGCCTTCTTTCGGTTTGTATATAAGACACAGTAAATTATTTTTTTAATAAAGCGTTTTACCTTTTGGAAAGCAGTGGTGACTTTCAGGGAGGGTGTCTGTTACATTCCTGGGATTCCGCACTTAAATACTGGCTGCAGGCCTGGTGTGGAAAGGACACCTGAAAGCAGGGCCAGAGCCTTTCCCCTCTCAGCGAAATCCTGCTGCCTCGTCATCGCAGGGCAGCGTTGCGATGTGGTCACAGCAGTGCCTGATTCACAGCCCTGTGGCACACAGTGCCCTGCGCACCCAGCAGAGAGAAATCTGCAGAGGCAGCAGAACCGCAGCCTGTCTGCATGCTGTGCCTTCCTTCATGCACGCAGCCTCGCCCGGAGGTGCTGAGGCAGGAGGTGGGTGCTGACTCACCTGGATGTGCACACAGCCGTCAGCAGGCACAGAGACCAGGCTGTGTGCCACGCGTGGCCCCGCCGAGGTGCCTGCTGGAGCCACGCAAGGTCTCCTGGTTCCCCATCGCCCTGAAACACATCGTGTTTGAACAGGAGCCTGGTGGGAGAGCGGCGCGTTCTGCCCAGCTGTCCCTTCACCCCTGCTGCCAAACCGCAGCAGGATGCTTCCAAGGGGATCTCAGCCCCTGACAGCCATTTTCCAAAGGGAAGGAGGCTGTGAGTCACCGGATGATTTCCGCAGGCCCACGCCAGCCACGAGCTGCTCAGCACGGTGACACACGCGTGAGTCACTGCGTGCAGGGCACCCAATAGCCCCGTTGGCACAGTAACCCAGCAGCAGGCAGGCAGGCGTCTGGGCACAGGGAAGAGCCCCCGGTGCCTCCATCCCACTGTGCTCCCAGCAACTCCTGGAGACAGGAGAGCCCCGTGCATGGTGGGGCGGCGCCTCACTTCAGCCTGATACCACAGCATCACTCTTTTTCCCTGTCCTACGCATAGCTCTCAGAGCTGCTACATTACCTAGCGTAAAAGAAATTAAAAGGAAAATGAAAATAAGGAAAAGGAAAAGCAAACACCGAGACCCCTCCCCGGGTTAGGTTGCACTGACCCCATGGCCTGCAGTACCCCTCCCCGCCACGAGGCGGCGCCATCTTCCCCGCAGGTCTATTGATGACGTCATCACCGCGCGCCCAGCCCCGCGTGACGCACCGCTCGGCGGACAAGATGGCGGCGCCCAGTTGTGAAATCCCTAATGGCGGCGTCGGTGCCGCCCGTTATTGCCTGGTAAGCGGCATCCCGGCTGCGCTGCGCTCTGCCCATCTCCGTGCCTACTTCAGCCAGTTCCTGGAGGCCGGCGGTTTCCTTTGCTTCCACTACCGCCACCGCCCCGAGCGCCCGCTGGCGGGCGGCAGCGATGGGCAGAGCGCAGCGCCCAGCACCTGCTGCTGCCCGGTGGCCGTGCGGCCCGGCCGGGCCCGGCGCTTCGTCCGCATGTACTCGGGCAGACGCTGGGTCGGGCCCGGCGGCACCTCATTGCCTGGCCGCTGCCACGTCCGCAGGGTCCGCCTCAGCCCCGGGACAGGTACGTCTGGGCTCCCCTGTGGGCCCGCTGAGCACAGGGTGGGTCGTCCCCACTCCCTTCCCCCCCCCGCTTTCTCCTTTCTTCCCCTCTGTTCCCTTTTTCCCCCTCTCCCCCCCGGTGGAGTTTCCTTAACACCTTACATCTGTTACGGGGCAAGCAGAGTCAGTTTGGGGGCTGTTCCCTAGACCTTCCCAGGAGGGCCCTGATTTGCCCCTCTCTAGTGTTGGTGTGTTTTCCCTCTCCAGATCACTCCTTCCCTCTTCCAGGCACAGAGACGTTTCCCAGTGCAGTGGACATGAAGGCTGAGGGTGAAACCGTCACGGAATCGGACTTGAAGCGGCTGCCTGAGTTCAACCCCCCTTCCTTTATGCCTTTTGGGAATGTGGGCACCCCTCTGAAAGTCTTTCTGGAGCTGATCCGTGCCTGCAGGCTGCCTCCCAGGATCATCAAGAAATTACAGCTGGATTTCCCAAAGACAGGCTCATCCCGGAGGTATGGCAACGTGCCTTTTGAATACCAGAACACTGAGACGGTTATAGAAGAAGAAAGAGTTTACACTGCTACGGGGGATGAGATCACAGAGGATGAGGGGCCTGTGGCAAGATCTGAGGTGACTGATCCAGCCAGTGCTGAGGAAGACGAGGTGGGGCAGGAAAAGGAGGAAGAGGAGTCGCACTCGGATGACGTGAGTGGATTTTTGTAGTGCTGCCTGCGGTCAGGCATTGCGCTGCAATGCTGAGAGAATTGAGCTAATTTTTAATCTTTTAATTGTACTGGGAAGTCTGCTTGTCTGAATATGGTGTTAAATGTGGTTGTTCACATTCTGAGCTCTTTGGTGCATGTAGTGGTGCAGGTGTTAGTACTTCCAGAGCAGCTTGTCCAAGTGAAAGTGCTTCATGGTGTGAGCACAAAGAGCTCAGTCCAGAGGATGGAGCCCCGGTGGTGGCTGGTGCTGCAGGAGGGCAACTCTGCCTGCTGCGTGGCAGGTTGGTCTGGCTCTGATGTTGCTTGTAAATGAGATGGCTGGAGACTGAGGAGCACATCAGTGTTCTGGAAATGACATGCAGAGTCGTGCAGATGGTTGACCTTGAATGTTCCTGCAATACAAATTAGTCATTTGGAGAAAAATGACTTTCTTGACAAAGACTTCTAGAAAACTGGGCTGGTCTGGCTCTCCAGAGATTATCTTGCTCCCCCCGACAGACGCCTGTCTAGCCTGCTCTCCCAAACCTTTGTTATTACAGAGGCAGTGCAGTCCTGAGGCAAGCCATTCCCGTTCCTGGCTGTCCTGCCATTATGCACCAGAATTAACTTGTATGTCAAATCTTTGCTGCAGTTTTATTCCATTAGATTCTCCTACCAACAGCGGACACAGAGAACACTTTGTTCCTTCCTTTAAAAGCTCTTTATTCAACAGCTGCTTTCAGTCTTTTCCAGACTAAGCCAGTCTGCTCCTCTGGCCGTTTCTCAGGGGCTGTTTCCTGGATCTCCAGCTATTCTTTTGGACATTCCTTAGCTGGTGTCTCCCTTGAAGGGCTGTGCCCAAAGCTGGGCAGACAGCAGTAAAGCTGTCAGTCTGATCTGTGGCTGTGCCAGCAAACTCCTTTTCTGGAACCGATACAATCTCTTTAGGGATCTACTTGAGTGGAATTAATTTGTTGCTAGTGCTGACTTTACCTACAACACACCTGCTCCTTAAATGGACATCTCTGCGTTACAGATCAGGTACGCTGCTGAAAGCATGCTGTGAAGTGGGTGTGATGTGGTATTTTTCACCACTTCTGTCTGCTGACTCTGGCATTAGTCAGGGGAATGAGGTCATCAGCGCTGGTCGTGTCAGTGCCTGAGAACAGCAGGCTGAGACGAGCTCTGTTGACAAAGGTGTTTTATTGTAAAGGCTGTGAGGGTCAGGGAAGTGAAAAGGAGACTTTGTGCTGCTGCTGTCCCCCACCTTTTGCTGGTTTCTTTGCAGGACAATGATACCTGTGAGGAATGGGAGCGACACGAGGCTCTGCATGAGGATGTGACCAAGCAGGATCGTGTGGAGGAGCGGCTGTTTGAGGAGGAGATTGAGCTGAAGTGGGAGAAAGGAGGTTCAGGCCTTGTCTTCTACACAGATGCTCAGTACTGGCGGGAGAAGAATGGAGGTAATGTTGCTGTTTGTGTCGCTGCACTGCAAACTGACTGCCACAAGCTGGGGACTGGGGGCCCAGCCTGGCAGGATCAGATAAATCAAGTATAACCCTTCCAGCTCAGCTGCAGATATGGGCATCTGGTGATCGATTTTTAAGCCTTCCCTTGGTGACAAAACCTGCAGAAGTTCCATCTGATGGCTCCAGGACCTGCTGGTCCTATTAGCAGCCTATTCTGTAAGCCTGTGGCTTGTATACCCTAATATCTGTTCCTTCCCATTTTGTTAGAGAAAACAGGGGATCGACTGCTAGCTAGCAGCTCTTCTGTGTCAGACATCCACAGCCATTACCAAAACCGGTGCTTTTCTTCTCTTGGCAGACTTTGATGAGCAGACTGCTGATGACTGGGATGTGGACATGAGCATCTACTATGACAAAGGTATTTGAGCTTGGAAAAACTTCATAGGAAACAGGGGAGGTTGGGAAGTTCTGAACCTGCAGAATTTTTGACGTGGGGAACTCAGTCATCCTTTGAAAGCATCTGAGACGTCACTGTACTTGAAAGAACATTTTCTGGCTGTGAGAGCTGCCAAAAAGAACAGGTTCTGCTTCCTTGCTGGGTGGTGCTCTGGGGGAAATCACAGCAGGAAATAGCTTTCCTGAGCTGTTCTACTCCGACTCTTGCTTCTTTTTTCCCTAGATGGAGGAGACAAGGATGCTCGTGACTCAGTCCAGATGTGGCTGGAACAGAGACTTCGAGATGGTTTGGAGGATGGGTCTACATCAGGGCAGCAAATCGGCACCTTTGAGAGATACACCAAGGTGAGCTTTGGATACTGAGTGGATGGGGAAAGGCTGTGCTGGTGACGTTCAAAATATGTGTGTGTTGTGGAGGAGGCTCTGGGCAGATGAGGGTGGGCTTTGTTCCAACACCTTTATGACTTT